GATTTCTATCAAATATTGGATAATAAGTTCGATTGGGAGAAAAGATACATACACGAAAATTATAGTCTGAACTTCGATCTGAATCATAAACCCCAACAGGCATGTATAATAGATGTTATTTTCACTCATTCATTATATAAATTGACCATCGATATTTTTAACATCCATATTATCTCTTTCTTTTTCTTTATATTTTAGCCGTGTCCAGATGTTTATTGGTTCCCTATTGCCAATCGACGATTTACTAAAGAGTTGATCAATGTCGTAGAAACGTATGGTCATTGGTCCGATGGTACTAATCATGTGAGTTTCCCTGTGATCGAACAAATTATTAAAAAATAAACAAACAACGAATAAAAAGAAAAATTATAAATAATAAACTTTTTCATAGGATCCAAGATTATCAGGTGGTTATGAGAATGTACCAACTCGCGATATTCACATGAATCAAATTAATTTTGAACCACAATGGTTGTACTTTTTGAAGGAGTATGTTAGACCTCTACAGGAATTAGTATTCACGGGATATTATCATGATGTAAGATTACATGTCATTTTATTAATTGTAGATAAACTATAGCGTGAAATGTTTCAAATATTTTGTTTTTTAACAGCCACCACGCGCCATAATGAATTTCGTTGTTCGATACCGACCAGATGAACAACCATCGTTAAGGCCGCATCATGATAGTTCGACGTACACAATTAATATCGCTCTTAACGAAGTTGGAGTCGACTATGAAGGCGGTGGATGTAGATTTATCCGATATAACTGTTCGGTTACCGATACGAAACCTGGATGGATGTTGATGCATCCTGGAAGACTGACACATTATCATGAAGGATTGAAAGTAACCAAGGGTACTCGTTATATAATGATTTCTTTTGTTGATCCATGATAAGTTTAAAAGAAGAAAACTAAGTTCCGTTTAGGTTCGTGTAAGTATATCAATTAAATGTGTTCTTTTAATGTTGAATGGACGATATAAAATGATATAAGATCGTCCATGTATTATTTTTATAATGTGTTGTAACATAATTGTAAATGCACATACTTCATTCATGATAATAATGTTGACTGAATGTTTATACAGATTAATGCAAATCGTAAATACAACATTGTAATATATAATACTAAATTGTTTATTTTTATTTATAATAATATACCTTCCATTATATTTTAATCACTAACAAAAATCAGAAGAACCAATAGCTATAAAAATTCATTCCGAAAATGTATTGTCTATTTCTCATGATATAAATATTTAGAATGCTCTATATCATAACATTATACAGCCATAAAATCTATAGTTAATGGATAGCAAAGCATGTATGAAAACATGAGATTTTATTAGGAACATTCATAGGAAAAATAAGTTTATTAATATCACTGAATAGCAAATTGTTAAAAATCGGTTTAATTATATTTCTGCACATTTATTTACATAATAAAAAAAGTGCTTCTTTGAAAATATAAACGAAACATATATAATGCAATGGCCCATTAAATTCATCTCTTTTTATCAAAGTAAGTACATTTTGAAGTAACTGGATTATATCGAATAATGTTATAGTGCAGATACTGAAGAATTTTGTTTAAATTTATAATACTTTCATAATGTACATTGCAGCATGGTATCTGTCAAATTTACATTCAGTAAACTTCTGTATTTATTAGCTTTTTATACCTTTTATGGAATGCTACCAGTTTGAATGAATTCAAAAAATTGTGTGTAACAAGCAGTAATACAACATAATCATGTTATAAAAATCGTATTTCTCTCTCTCTGCCAGCGAGTGCTCTAATAATATAGATATTTGATAAATATAAGAATGCTATTCAAGTTCAAATTATTATTTAATTTATCTAGAGATTATTTACAATTTGTTCGTTTCATAGAAAAAATGATTATATATTAATTTAATAACCAGCTCGTTTCAATTCATTCAATTGATGGGCCAATTTTTCTTCTTTAGTTCTTCTTGCTTGTCCTAGTTTCCGACATTCGATATACGTGCTAAGAAATCGCTCTACGTCAACTTTTCCATTTAGAAAATCTTCTGCAATTTTTTCACTTTCTTCGTGACTTTCATCCGCTGCTTGCCTTAGGCATTCTTTTATCTGATCTGGTGTGAAAATTTCTGACAATTTATTGTATCGTTGTATTAGTTGATCGTATCTAGCTTTTAATACAGCTACGGTTCGTATTTTTTCTGCAACATTAGCTTGTAATTGTTTTAATTCAGGTTCCTTTGCTACATTGGCTTCTAGGATAGAAAAAAAGATTATGAAAAAAATATATTATTGTTATTTTATTACTAATAAACTATTAATTTCTTTTTCTTCGTACACACACTCACATATAAGTATTATAGTTTTATATTTTATTACATACCTGCTGTCTTTTCTACCCAATCAATAGTATCTTCTATAGCCATGTTAACATCCTTTAATTGGGAATGTTTTTCAAGAAATTCATCTTGCCTATCTTCATCTTCATTAAGTTTTTTCAATTCCTCATTGGACAAATTATTTAGTTCAGGGAATACGAAACTTTGCACAGTTTTCGCTTGTGTACAGCTTGGTAACGTTGCATGATAGTTAGTATTTGCATAATGTAAATTAAGATATGTTGTTCTGTGTTGATTTGTTGTGTATCGAGAAGGGCTAGCATTATGAAGTGTATTACTTATTGAGGATGAAATAAATGTCGAATGCTGTGATGTAGAGTCAAATGTTTTTGACTGGTTGTCTGTGACATATGTATTGCCAGAATTTGTATTATTATAGTTATAAATGCAAGGATTTGTACCGGAGGTTGAATACTGTGGAAACTGTGTATTATAATATGAATTATAAGAAGTAGGTGGAATATCTGCATATTGTTGAAGCGAGTAGGATGGTGAATTTCTTCCTTGTAAGTCTGTAATGGGATTAATTATTCGTTCATACATTAAAAATTAATTTGATAAAAATTATTCATTGAAAAGTATGAAATAAAACAGTAAAAGAACTTTTGAAAGATATATACATACCTCTATGTGGTTTGGCAGATCCAGGCGAAACATATTCTATTACCTGAGGCGGATTTTTACTGAATTCTCTAATGATAGCTTGAACAACACGACCAAGATCACTATGCACTGTAAACTAGAACATTTATGATGATAATTACATAATATTTATCTCTCTATGGAAATATATATAAAAATAGAATTTAATATAAAATTTGTTTATAACTTAATGTAATTTACATTAAGTAATCCTGGTGCACTAATGATTTCACTGTGTTCATTACACCAAGGATGATTTATCGGCGGGGAAACTCTAAGAACTGGCTTTTCAAGCGGAAATTCTGGTGACAAAGAAACCATGATAGCCATACGCCTTTCTCCAGCATTAAATTGTACTTGATATTCCACATCTTCTCGCAATTCTGCTACACTATAAGATATAAAAAATAAAAATAAATTAAAATAAACATTTGATTATTCATTTGACCTTGAAAACATTTCTTTACTATATTGAACCATGATGCAACATTAAAGAATGCAAACATAGAGAATTATTATATTTTATTATTTTAATTTTAGCAAGATAAAATTAATTAAAAAACTAATAAATATATATAAGTGCGTCTGTTTTTCGTAAAATATGCAATAATGTCTTTTCACACCATAATGTCGTAATACTTTCAAATAATTTGAATAATTTAATTATTTTATTAATAATTAGATAATAATATTATAAATGTTCAACCTACAAGTAAAGTTAATAAGAGGTTACAATAAAGGCATACTATCTTACTTGTCGTTAAAAATTTTCAAGGTGTCGATTTGACGTTTTCTCTTGACAGCGACATTTTCATTTTCTCCACGGAATATTCGCGATATCATTTAAGAGAACTAATTTTGGATAAATCATTCGCTTAACTGTCGATCTCCCTGTCAATGCAACCATCCAGTAGAAACAGCTGTTTTAACCTCGCTAAGCTTGTGTAGGAACTAAGAAATATTCTCTGGAACATACATACGTATATGCTCATATACGAATATATATTTTACTATGTAGTGACGCGATACATATTTATATCAAATAAATCATTGAATGCATTTGTGAAAGATCACGAAAAGACTACAATTTTCTACAATTGTGACATCTGTTGATAAGCCACAAAACTTTTCGCTTCTTAAACATTTGTTCAAGACTGTTCATCATCTTTCGAGCGTAGTGTATGTTATTCCAGCGATATGTATGGACAAGATATGAACTACAAGTGCAATAGGGAAATACTATTACCATTCTGTATCTATTGAATAGGTTATAAGCTTGTTAGATTATATCCTTCTTACGCGTAAACAATAATAACCGAGTTATTGTGTGACAGAAATTTTTTTATGTAGTAAAAATAGTAATATATCTGACAAAAGCAAGGAAAAAACCAGCTTAATTCCATTTATTACGAAGAGAATTTTTTAATATTAATAATTTTGACACATTTTACCGGAAAAAGAACAGTATCTCTCTCTTTCTGTCTTTTGCTGGAAAAAATATATATATTATATACACACAGAATGAAGCAATAACTTTCATCAAGATTTACTATAAAAAAAAAATATTAATTCATATATTGTAAAAAAATTATTAGTTTTTAATTTAAATATTGCTAAGAAATCATGTAGAAATGCGACTTAAATATAGTAAAAATAATAGTAGTAAGAAAAGCTTTTTTTATTAAAAAAAATTTTATTAAAAAAAAAAAAAAAAAGAAAATAAAGCTTTTTCGAAAATTCAAAAAAGCCGTATCCTCGTTTAAACCATCATTTTTAAAATGAAATTTTGTTCATCAAAATCGATTAAGAATTACCTATATTCATTGTTAGCATAAATCATTATAAAACCAAAAGTGATGAACAGTCTTAATGATACGTAATAATAATTTAATTTCACCATGATTTATTGAAATATATATAAAGTTAAAATAATGAAAAACAGGATATAGTTTCTTATATTTATTTTTTATTTTCGTTTAATTCATGTATTATTGGTTCTATATGTTTTATAAGTTCTTCCAAGCTAATTTTAAAATCTTTATCAAACCATATTTCTTTTAAATTATATAGAACTGGTCCTACCATTCTTGGATGTGGTACATATGATTTTATCATATGACCGTTTATTGGAAACTTTGGAATTATCCATTTATTAATTTCATTATAGAATTCTATCATTCCTCTATATTTTAACACTTCACAAACGAATTCTTTTGTATCTGATATTTTAAGTTTTGAATTTATTATTAGAAGCTGATATGGCCTTAATGGTTTTTCACAAGGTTTTGCTTCTCTATGTTGAATCAAGAATAATGCTAAGTTTCTTTCATAAACAGACAACTTTAATCTCTTGTGCAAAATCATTACCTCTTCTTCATCTTTCAACAATGAAGTAATTAAAGTTATGGCATGTAGTTTAACTGAATTATTCAATGCACGATAGTAAACATTTTTAAAGTTTTCTACATCTAGTTCTTTTGGAAGTCCTATATATGATGCAGCACCACATTCTATCATTTTTAACATTAATTCTCCACCATATCTACCATCCAAAATTTTTTTCCATTCAGACCATATTCGTTCACCAGAAATAAACTGTAATCCTGAAATATTTTCTTTTATTGCCTTTATAGTATTTTCATCAAACTCTACAGGGTTGTTTGTAATCCTACCATAGAATCGAAAATATCTATAAATTGTAATAAATGTTAAATTTAATGTACAATATTACAAATTTAATATTAAAAAAAAACTATTTCATACCTTAAAATTCTGAGGTAATCTTCTCGTATACGATTTGTAGGATTGCCTACAAACACGATTCTTCTTTTCTTTAGATCATCGTATCCATAAAAATAATCATATACGTTACCCTCAAGGTCAAGAAACATTGAATTAATAGTAAGATCTCGTCTATTAGCATCTAATTTCCAATCAGTGACAAATTGGACTTCAGCATGTCGCCCATCAGTCACAAGATCAATTCTCAAAGTAGTAATTTCAAAGTTTTCTTTATCATTAATCCTTGCAGTAATAGTACCATGTTTTTCACCTTTTGTATTTATCATTCTTATTTGTTCCTTTGTAAATAAATCTTTCATTTGTTCTGGGGTTGCAGTGGTAGCAAAATCAAGATCTATTGGTTTCACATCCATAAGAATATCACGTATAGCACCTCCTGTGATTCTCAATGTATAATTGTATTTTTTAAATAACTCTGACAAAATATTTAATTCTGGTGTGAAAATAGAATGAAATATAGGACCATCCAGTTTCGTGATGATAGGATTATCTCGTGATGGTGGTAGTGCTTCATTTTCCATTCTAATACTTATTCTTTTGCTCTTATTTGTACATAAATATTTGGATTTGCTATCTTGCTGCAAACAGATATAATCAACAATTATTTCAAACTTAATAAAATGATAATTTGTTCATTACAATTTCAATAAATATTTTTTTATTTTACGTTCTATGTATTTAATAATACTAAATTTTCTAATGACATTGAAAATGTTTTTTTCAGTTTCAGCGGAGATTTTAACCAAACAGCAATGAAACCATATACTCACGTATGTTGGTTTCTGGCGAAAACCATGTTTCATACATTGTCGAAAGTAAAGCAAAAATGTCATAATACATGAAATACTAAATTATTTATTCTAAGATTACGATTTCATTAAAGATTATAATTTAAAGCAATATAAATAGTATCTATGAAACGTAGTGTTTGAAATATGCATATAAGTTAATTACTTAATATTATTCTTTGTTTTTAAAATTGTATATGCAATAATGAAAAAAACATTATATGATTACAATTTTGTTTAATCTTTATAAAATTGTATTTATCTTTGCAGTTGTAATATTTTGTTTTATTTATTTTATTTACACATCTAATATCATCACATATTACCAAATTGTACATTCAGAAAATATATTATCGACATTTCTATCGTAGCGACCATATGTAGCAAACTTCATTTAGGCGCGAAAATAAATTCAACATTCTTTTTTATTATATTAAAAAATTGACCATAATCCTTCAGTTTTATATTTATATCAAAATTTTCATGATTAACTAATAAATTAATTAATAATAAATAAAATTAAGTAAATTATCACTTAATAAATAAATAACGATAAATAGAAGAAGAGAATCACGTTTCTATTAAAAATTAAAGAAACGTGGGTTTTACAGCAATCAGAAATGGATTAACCTTACACTGGCAAATTGCAATTCATTTTATTACATACTCGTAATCTATACAAATTAGATAATTATTAATATGAATGACAAATTTAAACTGACTTTTTACAAGGTATAATTTATATATATATATATATATATATATATATATATATTATTCCTTATTTATAGAAATAAGAATATCTGATTTTCATTCATTGAGGTTTTTTTTTTATTACTAACACGAGATTTTAAAATATGAAGAAATTCAAAAAGGAGAAAAAATAAAAAACATAGTGGGATGTTTAATCTATTATAGTTCCATAATTAAGTTTTTTGATTATTGCTAGAACAATTAAGTATTTAAATATTTACTTGTAAGAATTTTCGAACATATACATATTTGCAAAAATATAATGCTTTTCTAATATTTATGTATCGGATCTCTGTAAGAATTTGCATGGTTTAATATGTGATCTTTCAAATATTTCATCATTCATTCAAATATTTATATAAACCTATGCATTATAATCTAAAAGTAATGCACTTATCGGCACATACGAAAAAAAAAAAACCATTCAAGATTTATTAATTTTTTAAATCCAATTCCAAAAATAGGTTTTAGGAACGTACACAATGTTTTAAAAAGTGTCTCATTAATTCAGTTAAGTTAAGAAATCAATTTACTTACGGACGAAGCGTAATCTTTACATAAACAATATTGGTACTTTGGTAACAGAAGATTCTAAAATTTAATGGTACTGTACAGAAAGGAATGAATTATTTGCAATCTTCAGTGGCTAAAAAATATATATTATAAGTTTATATTTTAAATCCCTGAAGATATAAGAAATGTCAGATAAAATTATCAGATTAAATAATACGTGCATCCAAAGTTCGTTAAACTTATATTTCTTGTAAATTCCATAACTTTAACATATATTTTTTTTTTTTTTTTTTTTGATACTTTATACAGTGGTAATATGGATCTTATTAACTTTCAGTATGAACATTTTAATGATTAACGACTTACAATAATGGCGTTAATAAAATGGAAATGCCGTTTTTATAAAATTATTCATTTCACATATCCTTGACTATTCTTTGTTTTAAGTTTCTCTCTATTTTTTTCTGTCAACCGATTTTCTTACTGGCGAACCAAAAGCGATAGAACGAAAATAATAATTTCTTTCAAGCTTGAACACAAGTCCGTGTAATTATCGCACAATAAAAAATTCGTGTTAACAGTTACAGTTCATTTCCTCATCTCATTGTATAGATTCTTAAGAGATCTATATATCATACTTCAATTAAGTATGACTACATCAATTATAACTCATTGGTATAGAGTTATAGAGCAATCATAGTATATTTTTACTTTCATTTCATGTAAGAATGCATCGAAAAATCTTCTGATCCGGAATGAACAGATCGTTGATAATAATGTTCATGAAAATAAAATTTCAAAATCATCCATGTCCGATAATGAAATATCATCTGAGAGATCATTGATATCAAGACTGAGCTCATAATCTGGACTATCATCTGCCGAGTCATCACCATTTGCACCATCTTCATCCTCATCCTCATCATCTTCATTATCTTCTCTATCATTCTGTTCATTATCTTCTCCATTTTCTTCAGCTGCTGCATCAGCATTATCACCATCTGTTTTAAAAAAATAATATTTTTCCTTTTAAAATATTTATGAAGTTATATACTACCTATTCTAATAAAGACTATAACACCATAATTCATAAAAGTATATGTGAACATTTTTTTTTTTGATAAAATATAATAGTGATTAAGCAAAAATTTACCATCTGCATTGTTATCATCAGATGCAGAATTTGATCCATCATCATCACTAGCATCAAGATCATCATCATCATCATCTTCTTCAGCCTCATCTTCATCGTCCCTTCGCCTTCCAACATCATATAATCTGACACAGGATTCTTGTATACTATCAAATTCTCCCAAATTTTCAACTATAGCAATTTGTGTATCGAACTTATTGCATGCTAAATCATAAACTCCTCTTTTTACATCACACGTTGCTACAAGTTTATAAAATCAATATTTTATTATATTTAAAAAAATGTCTAATACTTTTGCTTTAATAAAAATTGCATACCAATATTGCTATAATCTAATGCATCTAATGTTTTGAATGATGTTACATAATGTGATTCATCTTCACTTTCTTGATCTAATGATACTGCATATATAATATTATTAACAGGTGAAAAGATAACTTCCATTTGATCAAGTGTAGGGACAGTTTTAAGAAGATGAAATGTACGTAAATCCCATACTTCTGTATTTGATACTACTTCTGTACCATTGGGGTGAAATACTCCATTTAAGGTTTGATTAAGTTTATCAAATTTATGTATTTCTTTACCAGAATTGACATCCCATAATATTCCATCACTTAAGACCAATTCATCGTTCATACTAAATGTTGCCCGATTTTTTGTATATTGATTGGAAATAGAAGGTGTTAATGTCATTAGAAGTTTACCAGTTGCTATATCGTATATCTGCAATAAAAAGTAATATGAGTATATTCAATAATTTATAATAAAAAATATATTAATTAGTAATAATAATCTGTTATTAAAGAGATTACTCACAGTAGCACTTTCTCCTTGTGTACCAATTATTCTATCTTGCATCTTTCCAAATTCTACATAATCTTCATTTTCTAAAGACAATTTCATGTCAAAGAATGCTCCAATACTCCAAAGAGCTGACATAGGACTTCTCCAAGCAGTTGATGTTAATAATAGATTACCTCGTTGATTGCATTCCATATGATATACATACGATTCATAGCACTGATATGTCGCTTCCTCTACTCCTGTATGAGCATTGAACATTTTCACATCTCCATTATATGTGCCTAACATGAGATATTGTTGACAAGGCTGTAATACAAAATAAAAATTATTTATCTATATAAATCTATAAACACAATATAAGTTTATTACTTACCGTAAAAATACAACAAGTAAACGTCCCATCAATATCAGTTGGACGAAAGGTTTTCACAGGACAGAAACGACTATATATATACCTTCTATCTAATCGTCTACCATCCATTCCTAATGCTCTTCTTGTTAGTCTTACAGTTACATTTGTAGGTGTGGAATTCTTTGTACATGGATCTGGGCACTTATGAGGCCTAAAATATATAATTATTTACGAAAAAATATTTTTTTTAATAAATTTGGTTGCTTCTATAATCTTGCAAACTTACTCAAAAAGATTAAATTGAGGACACGTAACCATAGGATTTTTACAGAGAGCATGTTGATTAGTTAAGTATTCTGTTATAATTGAATCAAGAGTAATAGTAGATAAATTGGAAGTAGCAACTCCAGTAATTCCTCCACCCCCAGGATCTCTAGAAATTTGTTTTTGTAATGACCTACAACTACTTGATTGTAATTGTAATGAGGATTGACTGTTTACTGGTAGAAATGGTGGTCTGTCGTTTTGTACTGATTTCCTATGAAATTATAATCATTATTTTACACATTACATCATTAAAATTTCAACATTTTTTAAATAAGAAGTATATTAACTCTTACTTCTGATTAATTTGTAACTTAATTGGTTGATTCATATTATTAGTGGTATTTTGATTAAGAGTATCAGCTAATTTTACTCGAATTCCACTATTACTAGATGATGAACTGGTACAGGAAGCAGAATGAGAAATAAAACGAGTAGAAGATGAGGGAGTAGTATTTCTACAATTAATTTCTCTTTGATTACATCTGCTTGTATTATATAAATTAACAGGAGCACCAGGAGAAAATCCATTTCTCATCTATAAATATAATAAATGATTATAAAATCAATATCACTAAAAAATCAACTAATCAAAAAATAATATACTTTCATATATTATTCTATACTATAAATATCATTATATTATAAAGAATTATAAAGCATAACTAATCTTTCCAAAATTTTTACTTACCCCTACATTTGCAGGACTTCTATAAGTAAATGGTTGATAATTTGTTAATGGTTTCATAACAGCTGGTGAATCTAGATTAGCTTCTCTGTATAGTGTTGAAGCAGTATCACTTAAACCTTTTGATACAAGATGTTGATATATTAATTGATTGAGTTGTTGTTCATTGTATTGAATCCTTGTTTGGGCAACAACATTTGCCTATAATATAAACAAAATCAGAAAGTAATTTTATTTCTTATATAAAATGATTTGTTTATATTTAGTACACTTTTATATAAAAATTTTACTTACTCTATGTAAGCTGACTAAAGAGATTTCATATTCAGCACCTGTTGGCTTTGCTTTGCCTGATACTCTTTCCATCAATTCAAGTGCATATTTTTGAAACATGACATGTTCTTGCCTCTTTTCTTGTAAAATAGGATCTTTCATAAGTGCTTGTATTTGACCGTCTGTAAACATTGGTAATTTACTAATAATTTGTCTAACTTTTTCACTTCTTGCTAGACCAGCAAGTGCTCGACAAGCCAGTGCTCGTATACTATCAGCATCCGTGATTGGTGTTTT